AGGACTGGACTTTAACTTCTATGCCACCAAGGATGCACAATGTTTAACTTTTTTTTTTAAAGATTTATTTATTTATTCATACAGAACTGGGGTATAGGCCAGAGATGTGGAAGGTGATAGGATTCACCAGGGACAGAGTGGGGAGCAGAACAGGCAGATCAACGAAGTACACTGCTGAGGGGAGCAGCGGGCGGGTCAGGAGAGGTCTGCCGCGCCATGTGGTCACATCCAGGGCAGGCGGGGATCAAACTCATGCGGAAGTGGCTTTAGCTTCTTAGTGCTGTGCTTTAACCCACTGTGCCACCAGGGAGGGCCTCACAATGTTTAACTTTTTAAGAATCTGCTTAACCGATTTTCAGTGTAGCGGCACCATTTTACATTCCCAAAGCAATATACAAGGGTTTCAATCTTTACATCTATATATTTAATTCTACCCGGTAGCTATGAAGGGGTATTTCACTGTAGTTTTAATTTACATTGTCACAATGGCTAATGATCTCTCCTTGTGCTTGCTGGCCATTTGCATATCTTCTCTGGAGAAATGTTTATTCAAAATCCTTTGTCCATTTTAAACTTGGGTTATTTATCTTTTTATTGTTGGACTGTGAGAGGTTTTTTTTTAAAGATTTATTTATTCATACAGAACTGGGGTACAAGCCAGAGGTGCAGTGGGTGGATTCACCAGACAGAGTGGGGAGCAGAACAGGCAGATGGATGAAGTACACTGCCGAGGGGAGCAGCGAGCGGGCCAGGAGAGGTCTGCCGCGCCATGTGGGTCACCTCCAGGGTGGGAATTGAACTTGCATTGAAGCAGCTGTGGCCAGCTTGCATTGCTACACTTTAACCCATCATGCCACCAACGAGGGCCCAGCACTGTGCTTTAACTGGTTGCACCACCAGGGAGAGCCCAGAGTTTTTAAATATATTCTGGTACACGTTCTGAGCAGATATTTTCTCCTATTCTGTGTGTTGTTTTTCTTCCCACTTTGCATATTGTGCCCTGTGACTTTGCTGCTCTCCTTTGCTAGTTCTGAGAGCTTATTCCACAGTCTTGGGGTTTTCTAGATGTAAGACCATGCCTTCGACAAATAGTTTTATTTCTTCCCTTCAACCAGGAGTCCTTTGATCTCATTTTTTTTTAAGATTTATTTATTTATGCATACAGCACTGGGGTACAGGCCAGAGGCACAGGGGCGGTGAGAGGCTTCACCAGAGACAGAGTGGGGAGCAGAATAGGCAGATCGGCAAAGTACACTGCTGAGGGGAGCAGCGGGCGGGTCAGGAGAGGTCTGCCGTGCCATGTGGTCACCTCCGGGGCAGGCGGGAACTGAACTCATGCGGAAGTGGCTTTAGCTTCTTAGTGCTGCGCTTTAACCCGCTGCGCCACCAGGGAGGGCCCCTTTGATGTCATTTTATAGACTAATTTCCTCACTAGAATATCCAATAGAAAACAGAGGTGGTGAGAGTGGACATCCTTGTCTACTACTTAGCGGGCACCGCACCGCTTTAAGGAAAGTGTTCACCATCAAGTGTGTTTGTGACACATTTTGGAGCTGGCCTGTACCACACTGAGGACGTGGCCATCTGTTCCTCATTTATTGTGTTTTTAACATGAAAGGGTGCTGGAGTCTGTCAAATACTTTTTCAGCAAATATTGAGATTATCATGTGGGATTTTCCCCCATTTTAAAAATTGAGATATAATTCACATACCATAAAGTTCACGCTTTTAAGTATAAAAATCATTGGTTTTCATATTTTTACAAAGGTATGCAGCTATATTTACCCTCTAATTCCAAAAAGTTTAACATCCCCCCCAAAGCACTCTCATACCACTAATAGTTACTCCACATTCTTCCCTCCCGTAAGCCTCTGGCAACCATTATTCTACTTATTCATATGTATGGATTGGCCTCTTCTGGATATTGTCTTTTGCTTCTGGCATCTTTCGCTTACCAGTGTTTTCCAAGTTCTTCCATTTTGTACTATTATCAGTACTTCATTCCTTTTTTATTGCTGAATGATATTCTGCAATAAAAAAGGAATGGAAAAAAAAACAGCTAAAGAAAGAAAAAAAAAAAGGAACGGAAACAACACACATTTATCCATTCATCAGCTGAATCACATGGTTGTTCCCTCTCTTTGGGTATTATGAATAATTTTACTCTGCACATTTGTGTACTAGGTTTTTTTGTGAATGTATTTGCAAGGGTTACACCTTGCAAATGTAGGTTATACATACAGGAGTAGAAATGTTGGCTTGTATAGTAACTCTATGCTTAACTTTTTGAGGAACAAACAATCTGTCTTCCAAAGTGGCCATATTTTACATTCCTACTGCCAATGTAGGACACACTACATCTCTAGATCCTCATCAGATCATGTGGCTTTTTAAGGTGTGTTCTATTGATAACATTTACTCATTTTCTTTAACAAGAAGATCTATGTCCTAGAATTATTTTGTTTATTTATTTATATACATTTATTTTTGTGCAGAAGATCTGGGGTATAGGCCAGAGGTGCAGGATATGAGAGGATTCACCAGAGAAAGACGGGGAATAGAACAGGTGGATTTATTGAAATACCCTGCTAAGGGAAGCAGCGGGTGAGACAGGAGACGTCTGCTGTGCGATATAGCTTAGCTCCCTGGCCAGGGATCAAACTTAGTCGATAGTGGTGATAGCACTCAGCCTTAACCCTGAGACCACCAGGGAATCTCACATTTATTCATTTTCTAACATGAAAGCAATTTTGCATTCCTGGGATATAAATTACACCTCTTCGTGGTATCTAATCCTTTTTATTGTTGCTAGATTCAATTTACTTCTTTGAGAATTACCATGTCATGTTCTTAGACATAGATACATATTTTTTGAAGGGATGATTGTAGGTATTGAATTGATGTGGTATTTAGATTCCACTGATACAGTTAAAAGAGTAATGCAACAATTTTACTTCCAGATGTTAATATCTACAATATACCAGAAATTGCATTCTTTGCAAGTGTTCAAACCTATGATGAAAATGTCAGATGTCACTTTACAAACACTTGAAGCTTGTCAAAAATTATTTTAGAAGATACCTTCTAAATGCAGAGAAATGGCATCAAGATTACTGTTGTAGCCACTCTGGGGAGCCTAGGGAGGTTCTAAGCAGCAGAGCAACAAGATCTTGCAGGGTTTAGGCTTCCTTGGTGGTTCAAAGGGTTAAGGCACAGCACTACAAAGCCAGCTGCAGCTGCTTCAGCACCAGTTCGATCCCTGGCCAGGGAGGTGACCCATATGGCGAAGCAGACCTCTCCTGTCTCACCCACTGCTCCCCTCAGCAGTGTAGTTCACTCAGTCTGCCTGTTCTGCTCCCCACTCTGTCTGTGGTGAATCCTCCAACCCCCTCTCCCGCACCTCTGGCCTACACCCCAGTTCTTCCATACAAAAATAAATCTTAAAAAAAAAAAACACCACATTTTTCCCCAGGGTTTTACAAACCACTGTTTGGGACAAGGGTGGAAGCAGGAGACTGATCAGAAGTCTCTGCAGTGAGCCTGGCTGTGTGATGGTCTGGGCCAGAGTGCTGATGGCAGAAGTGGTCAGAAGTGATATATTGTCCATATATTTTGAGAGTAGAGCCAAAAGGTGTTGTTCCCTGATCTGATGTGCCATGTGGGAAAAGATAGAAAGACAGATACACAGACAAATATATAGAGAGAGACAGAGAGAATAATCAACGAAAATCCCAGACAGGCCCTCCCTGGTGGTGCAACAGGTTAGGACGCAGCGCTGCAAGCTAGTGTCAACCGCTTTAGTGTGAGTTCGATCCCCACCCCAGAGGTGACCACATGGTTTGGCAGACCTCTCTTGACCCGCCCGCTGCTCCCCTCAGCAGTGTGCTTTGTTGATCAGCCTGTTCTGCTCCCCACTCTGTCTCTGATGAATCCTCTCACCACCCCTGCACCTCTGGCCTGTGCCACAGTTCTGTAAGCATAAGTAAATAAATATGTTAAAAAAGAAAACCCCAGACTAGGGGTTGGGACTCATCCACTCATCAACTTATCTATAACCTCGTCTCTGAAATGGATTAGGTGACATCCTTTGGCTGGAAGAGTTGTGCGGGGTTCAAAGAGTACATTCTGTCCTTCAACTGTGAAAGGTAGACACCACACCTTTTAGTAAAATATCAGCTTTAGTTCTTTTGTTAGATATCCCTCTTTGAATTTGGCCATAGTCATGTGATGATATGAATGATATTTTGAGGGTCTTTGCTGTCTCATCTTATGTTTTTGAAACTAAAATCCACCCTTCTAGAGGGCAGGTTGTGATTTTTGCATTCTCAGCTCATATTCCATTGGCTGGAACATGTGTTTCTTAAATACTTGTTGAGTATTTAAATTGCTAAACACCGTTGCCAAATCCCATTGACAGCATGTTTCTATAAACCTGTTCCCTTTGGTCTCCCCATTAGTTCAGCCTACCCAAGAGGCTCTATTTCTCTCTCCTCCTGCACCCTGTGACCCACACATATAAAGGTCGATGAAGCTAACCACACGCACCCTTTCAAAGGCAGCATCAACATTTATTTGGGCGGAGTCGAAAATGAAAGGTGGAGAAGGAAAACCCCAGGAGGTCGTCTTTAGTCTTGTCTGTTGTCCCAAGTTCTTGCTGGAAATTTGCACACCCCACCAGGCAAACACAAGTCCTGCAGGTAACCACTGTGTCCTTTGAAGGCAAGTTAGCAGAGCTCACACTAGCATAACACTTGGCAAAGTCCTATCCGTCAACTCACCCGCCACCTCCCAGCCCTAGCCCAGGAGAGCGGGCCAGGCAGCAGGCACTCAGCAGGCATACTCTGGGCACGGCTGGTACAAGGGAAAGGTGATGAGTAAGACTTGGGTATGGAGAAACAGTTTGACTGAGGGATTCAGCCCAGGCTATGACAACAATTGCAAGAACGGAGCAAACTCATTTTTACTTTTCTCAGTTGTCAAATGTGTCTACGAATGCCTACCTTGGTGGCTTTCAAACTCTTCCCGGGAGCTCTCGGTAAGGTGTCTCCTTTACATGGTGATCAGAAAACAAGGCGCATGCACACCGCTGAAATCAAAGATCATGAAACGATACTTAGTTCCAGTGATACTGAGAGTCTCATTTTTATTTGTTCATTTACAAAAATGTCATGACTCATTAATTGGATTTCAAAACCTCTCAGGGGTTCTGATCCACAGTTTTAAAAATATGAATTAAATGAGATAACATATATAAAGGGTTTGATCCAGAGGAAGGCTCCTTCAAACACTAACTTACCCTGGAAACTCTGCAAAGTGCTAAGGTAAAGGAACCAACAAGGTTAAGTAAAGGGAAAGAGGGTGTCCATTAGTTCAGCTGGTAAGTGAGGAGGAAATTTGATGGATGGATAAAGTGCACAAATTATCTATAGAGAAAAATTTCCAGGGCTACTTGGAACTTTCTTAATTTTCAGCATTATGTAGCTAGCTTCTTCCCATTCATCCACCCATCAATTCAAATGCCTCTTCCCCTGCTCTACCACCCTTTTTCTTAGCACTAGCTCCTGTAACCCCTGCTTTGTCTCACAACACTTTATTAACCAATCTATGCTTATCTGTTATCGATCTTCATCTGCTATCCATCTTCATCGCCGCTGTAACCCTGCACTTTAAGTGCGGATCTGTTTATCTTACTCACAACCTATCCCAGTAAATAGCACATCGTGCAATGTATAACTCTTGAATGAATGAAAGACCATAGGAAATGAACTACAATCAATTTTCATCAAAGATGCAGTTAATGCCTCACAGATATAAATATATATAATATATATTAAGTATATATAATATATATTAACGTTCAAGATACTGGGTCGCATACTTTGTTCACCTCCTTTAGGGCTTAAGAAAATTGGATGTCATGAGAATAAAAGTAATCAAAGAAGAAAATGCTTTCTTTGAGGGATTGGGGATCTAGGAAAGGGATAACTCTTAACATTCATTGTTTTGAGTTCTGGTTAGTTAACCTACACCTACCTTATTTCCCTTTGAGTTTGAGAGACAGGCCAACTCGTTAATTTCTATATTCTTCGTTAGTTATCTGTACATTCAAGTTGAGCCGGCGCTCAACTTGAGAAATGAAAAACAAACCGGAAACTAGGCACTGGAGGAACGAACTGCTTAGGAGAGGCTGCAGTTCCTCCCCGGGGCAGGAGGCGGCGCCAGCGCCACACCAGTCCCGCCACCGGCAGGTCTTGGTCCCTTCGACTGACCGTCCAACGCCAGGCCCTGGGGCCGTGCAAAAATTAGCCAATAAAAAACCGTGTTACTTATGAAGTGGGCCACGGGTGCCCAATGAGCGTGGTGAGTCTAAGCAAGGGGCGGTGCAACAAGGAGGGGCAGCAGGGAGCGGTTGGAGGTGGGAGTTGGCGCTGCGGGCCGGGCAGGGGCCGCGGGGCTGCGATGCGGACGTGCCCGCGGCGGTGACCGGAGCTGCCGCCCGACATGAACTCGCTGGAGCAGGCGGAAGGTAGGGTGGGCACACTGGGTCGTGCCGGCGAGTCCCGGGCTC